TACAATTTATATAATAAATTCGTCCATTTAATCTCTTAAAAAAAGCAAATTCCATTCAGAAGTTACAGGTACATTGAGCTAAGTCAGAGTTTTTATAGCTTGTGTGAGAGTAAAGAGTTTTAGAGGGCTAAGTATACTCTTACTAAGTACAGTGTTTAGCCATAAAGTTTCTTTGGCAAGCACCCAGCAGACATAAATTTCGAAGTCATTTCTTCTTCTTTATAATGTTATGACTCGTACAATATCATCAATAATTCTGCCAATATTGAGTTAAGGAACACTCAAATTTTTTCTCAAAATTTGACCAATGAATTTCAACTGAAACCACTGAGATGAGAATCTATAACAACAGAGAACTTACACAGACTACTACAGAAACAATTTTTTTTTAAATAAATTTACACAGGACATACACAAAGGGAGAGTGGACTAATGTTAGGAGAAAGTTGATATTAACGAGACGGGAGATTTCAGGGGGTAGGATATCACATAGAAAAGTGACAATTCATTTACAGTCAAAAAACAGGTGCTCGAGGGTACCTTCTGCCAGACCACACTCGCAGAGGGAGTGGTCTCAAACACGGATCTTAGCCAAGAACACGGAGTACGTATGTGAGCTAAGCATAATATGCTTAAAAAACTTAAACTTATTATGTTACTTTATTACAGTAAGTATCACTTTATTACACTATGTTTAATTACTATTTTCAAGTTTGTTAAACTATGAATCTAGTATTATAAATTACTGTTGCACACTTAAATTAGGAATAAATACCGGAATGTAAAAAAAAATAACATTACCTTATAACTTATTCCATAAGCGCAATTTTTAAACGAAGTTGTAAGGTCTTGACGACCCTCATCTGACAAATAACCATCGTCATTCTCAGGTTTTTTCTTCGACTTCTTTTTTTTCTTCTCTCCTATTTCGGGTGCTCCTAAAAACTAGAGAAATGACGAGAAATTAAAACACCTTTATTTCACGCAGGTATTTAATGTTGAATATGTATTTACATTGTTAGTCTGCTTAAAACGAGGAACGGAGGGTTTCTTCCCACCTCGAGGGAAGTATTCTTCTGTGTCTGCCATTATTTTGTCACGTTATTTCTCTTGAAATAATAAATAAAACACCTCATACTATCACAATAACACATGAGTATTTGAGGTTATAGTTATACGTCGTTTTGCTAATGCACTTTTGACAGATGTTTTTGAACAACGAAATATTTTGTAAATTCAAGTATTTTGAAACAAATTTCTGATGAGAATTGTTTTTATTAGTAATACACGCTACGCGCTACTAGGTCGGCTTTATTAGAAACCGCGTATTTATCACTCAGTTCATCAGATTATGAAATCTTAAAAATGTTTTTCAGAAGAATAACTAAACGTAACAAATGTCACATTTGATGATACCATAAGATATTCTGTAATATTCCCATTAATTCAAAAGTGTCAACAAATCATGCAATAATAGTATCAGTATGCAAGATCAAAAGCACCTCAAGCTTGACACATATTCTTAAAATTTAAATTCAACTCTGTGACGCTTGTGATAAGAACGGTCCAAAGACAAACGCTTGATGTGCTCTTGACTATCCTCTTTTATCGTCAAACATGTAGGTGACATAATAACGCACACACTCAATAACGCACACACTCAACATAGCCGCGCACTAGGGAAACCCTGTGTCGCGGGTGCCATGGACACACACATAGCCAACCACAAATTACACCCAAACTCACGAGAGAAATAAATGTAGGCCATACACATATTTCTTCCGGCCTGGGAATCGAACCCAGGACGTCTACATGGCAGTAACCGTTCGGCCACAGAGGCAGTTAAAAATGACATGAAAAAACACTATTTTAAAGGAGCATAATGATGATAATGTATAAACAATAAAAAATATACAAGTTTGGTTTTTTTTCAAATACTTAACAAATAAATAAGTCATAACGTTTCAAAGTTTGCCGAAAGGTTGAGAACAATATTGACATTCGATGATTTATAGACGTGCCGTTGCCATAGCAACCACAGCGAGCAGTGTCGGCGCGCGAGTTTATTTCTTCGTCGACCTCAGTGGCTGAACGGTTAACTGTGTGAGTGCCAGATGAGGATGGCCCGAATTTGATGCCCAGTAGGACCAAGTAATTGCTGTGTTTGTTTGGCACTTTATTTATTTGTAAGAAATTGAATTGCTGTTTTTCTTTTAAATTTCCATGGGCTTAGGGATGTTAGTTTTGTCAAAAACAAGAAGAAATGATTACATGACAAGTAGGTACTATAGTCTGTTCCAATCCATTTTGAACAAAAAGTAAACAATCCTGTTTGGTTAAAATTCTAAAGCAATCACTCAATAAATCGAATAAGTAACACTTTCACGTATATTTTGAAGATTTTGACTTGATATATCATCACTTTCTCCTTTATTCATTTGAAAATCATCGCAAAAACGTATTTGAAAAATGGTAGTCCAAAAGTGAGGTTATTATTCATCTATACTTCTATGACTTGCTAATGGTTGCATAGTGCTGTTTGTAAAAAAAACATTCGGTTCAACCAATTACAGTTTAGTAATCGAATCGCAATCGAACGTGTATCTAAGTGTAAGGATTTGAAGGAAGATTTAAATTGAAAGTTTAAATATGTTTATATAGGTTATGTAAGGAAAACCGCTAGTATGACTCAATTGAACAAATCGATACATTCAATAATTAATCCATTAGTAGTTGGCGTTACAACCACCACTAAACCGTCTATGGTCGGGTCAGTGACTTGTTTGTTTACTTTTTGTTCAAAATGGATTGAAACGAAGTATACTGTCTTCAGGTGTATTTAAAAATTTGCGGCCAACTTATGTAGTACATACCTACCTACCTACCTTTATACTGGCCGCTTAGTTTTGTTTACAGCTGTACGATGACAAGAATTGTTTTTCTATCTTGTTTCTCCATCGTCTAAATATGTGATTGTTCAATTTCTGTTCTGGTGAATATATATTATTATAACTGATATCTATCGTCTTCTTCGCCATTCCAAACATAATGTTAAAACAAAACAGTGCTCGTGGAATCGAACCACGGGTATTCTAACTGACAGTCGATACAACGAGCCGCTCGTCCAATTTACTTGAAAGTTAAATGACGAAATTTAGTATTGGTTTTAAAGATATGTTGATTATCTTCAAGCAATTCTCCACTGTATTGCTTACACAATGAACTTGAAATTGCTTTAGTTTTTTCTTTGTTCAATACGAAAGATGGTTCTCAGAACCAAAAGGTCGGTTTAGGCATGTTAGGGGGTCAAGTATCTTATGAATATGACTGTACATTGTATTCAACCTGCAAGCAGATGTGCAAATATTAATGCGATTTAATGTTCAGTCTCTATAGTTTCTAATTAACGTAATGAATTTGTAAATTCTAAATATTCTAACAATTCTAAATATAGCGTTGTATTACTAAATTTTATGCACAGGATATATCAGTGGATAGTAATTTTTTTCTTATCACCCTGTATTGACATCCATCTACCCTAGTTAATATTTTAGAACTCAAATAGATATTGTCCATAATAAATATTTCTTTTATATTGATTTTCGATTGAAATAAGCCTTATGCATGGCTGCTATTTTCATTTCATGAAAATATGAATATGAATACAGTTTCAATAGCGAACAATAGATAAAACAAGGTCCACCGTGAAATTGTAAATTCCTATCAGAATAAAAATGTTAAATAGTTTATTTTAATATTGTAAAATTTACCGAAATGGAAGTTATTTGGAACTAGAAACACTGCTATTATGATACTAATTAAAAGAGCTCACGTTTTATTTGTCCCTCTTTAGCCGTCGTAGCAGTATGTAATTTGGCAGTATTTTTGAAACGTGATTGGAAGTGGAAGTATTGGAACTTTACGCGTGAAATAAATTTATTCGTAATTTGAAGTTTATTCGCTGATAAATAAATTATTTACCATAAATTAAGTGTAATTGATTAGTATTGTTCAGTAAGCGATTTGATACGAGTGTGTGTATTATTAACAAATACTATTTAATTCTTCGTTTATTTAGTTGTTAAAGTCGTTACAGGTGCGTGTCATTTCGTCTATCTGTTATAAATTAGATAATGATTTTCAAGTGGTTATATCCCTCGGTGATGGTTTAGTTCTGCTCGCTCTTAGCATTAAATAAGTATTTATTTGTTTTCAACAGATATGAAGAAAATCGTGATTTTTGGCTCTACCGGCAAAACCGGTCTCTGTGCCACAGAAGCCGCTGTTAAAAAAGGTAAATATATGTTGTAGTAAATTCCATATTCACGTGAATTTACCTAATTCTTTTTTGTAGGGTTGAAAATAACGTGACCGTCAGTATGGCTTGTCGCCTGTGGCGTCTGGCACTGAGTGTATATTCAAGAATTGCTACCTACTATTTGCTACAAATTTTGACCAGCCATTCTGACGTCAGGATGGCTGGTCGCCTCTTTGTTCAGCATGAAGGGAGCAGATTTTCCAGAAGTATGTATTACCAATAATTGCTACCTTCACCTCGGTTACCTACCCTCTCGGTTTTATACATTAGCAATCTCAACAGACTAGTTCGCCTCGAAGTAATTGTTGAATGCCTGCCGTTTATAATATGGCAATAAAGCATTAAAAACTTGCTTTTTTAGTTTAGGCAGGCACTTTTTCGTAAAATTTTCAATCAGTTATATATTTTTAATTAATGTAGATATGAAGCATATACCTTTAATTCGTGAATGTAGCAACTAGGTAGCAATTATTGGATTACCAATAATTGCTACCTATTAACATACTTCTGGAAAATCTGCTCCCTTCATGCTGAACAAAGAGGCGACCAGCCATCCTGATGTCAGAATGGCTGGTCAAATTTTTTTTTAATTTCTCAGAATATATCATAGGTAGCAATTATATACAAAAGGTAGCAATTCTGAATATACACTCAGTGCCAGGCGCCACAGGCGACCAGCCACCCTGACGGTCACGAAAATAACTGATACCTACTCCTACAGAAGCTAGCTTCCTTCCCTGTGTAGTTTCAAATTTAGGCCGTTAATAATATTGTTTTTTTTGGGAATTAGCTTAAAAAGGTAACAAATTATAATTAAGAAACTGAAAACGAAATATACTTGTAATAGAAATTATGTGTAAAACTGTAACTAGAAAAACCTGCCATTTTTTTTTGAGAAATCAAAAACTATTAATTGATTTTTTAAATTCATGACCTTGGATTCGAGTAATTCAGTGAAAATATTAGAGAATAAGGAATACTCATTTACATAGCAATAATTATAAAAAAATGTAATACTACATGCTTACTATAGATAATATAATAATAACGCTCACAATCAACATAGCCCCGCACTAGGGAAACCCTGTGTTGCGGGTGCCATGGACACACAGATAGACAACCACAAATTACACCCAAACTCACGAGAGCAATAAATGTAGGCCATACAAATATTTCTCCCGGCCCGGGAATCGAACCTGGGACCTCTGCGTGGCAGTGGCATGGTAACCGTTCGGCCGCGGAGGCAGTTTACATAACATCATCAACTCCTTATTCATCGCAGTGTGTGCATGTGGAGGACAAGGAGGCTAAAAAAGGCCATACCACCACTTTGGCTCAACACAGATTGGTGGCTTCACTTGTCTTCTTTTCCCACACTTGTGAATTTTCTTTAATGTGCTGGCTTGGCATATCAAGTTCTCAATAGAAAGTAACCATTCTCCAACTGCTTTCATGTGGCTACCCTTGCTTAATATAGAAGAATAACAAATGTATATTGCCTATAAACTAAATTATTTCAAACCACTCCAAGTTTCTTTTTAATGAAATTATTAAAAGTAATAATTGAATCACTCTTAAGCCTTGTTGATTGTGATTTAGAATTGAAAATGATTATATAAAATTTTTCCCAGGCCTTAAAGTGCGAGCTTTCCTCCGAGACCCAAATAAGCTTCCAACCAACTTAAGAGACAAAGTTGACATTATGAAAGGCGACGTGTTGGAGCCAGATTCCGTCCAAAGAGCTTTAGAAGGCATGGACGGGGTTGTTATCTGTCTTGGCACTGGAGACAGCCTGGCACCAACGTCTGACATGTCAGAAGGAACTAAAAACATCATTGACGCGATGCGACAGAAGAATGTTAATGTTGTATCAGCCTGCTTGTCTGCTTTTCTGATATATGAGCCTAGTAAGGTGCCCGAGAGGTTTGTGCCGCTCAATGAAGACCATAAAAGAATGTACAATGCATTGAAGGATTCTTCGTTGAATTATATTGTGGTGTTCCCCCCACATATTGCTGGTAAGTATTAAATAAACAGACAGACCTTAATTTTTTCAAACAAGATATATCTTAATCTTCAACCTTGAATTACTGAAATAAGTGAGCTGTATTTTTATGAAATAGAACAGCTTTTGTTCAAACGTGATATATTTTAATTTTAACTTAGTAATGTAATTATGACACGAGAATAATAAGCGATTAATTCGAAGGTATTGGTTACTTATTATTATTCCTCCTTAATAATAATAATAATAATAATAAAGAACTTTATTTATCTACATTTGCAAAAAATTTAGTCGTAAATAACATCACTTATAGATACTGTGTAGATAAAAAGGATAGAGTCTCAGCTTAAGCTGTTTTTCAGACCCTACCTTTTTGAAACTCGCTACATTTTAATCATAGTATTTGTCTGACGCGTCTCGAGTAGCTCCAAAAGATATCACAAAATATATACTCATAATATATATACTCACTTAAAGTTATAATAAATCTATTGTCCTTATAGTACCTGAGATAGATAAAATATTCCACCTAAAAAATACTCAAATTTGGGGTTTAGGTAGAGATGAACAGCACCCGCACGTAAAAATATAATTATAATTACAAACTACATCCAATTACTTTCTGATCTTTGCCTCGAAAGTAACCAAAGCTTGCACTTTTTTTTAAAAGTACAAGATGACTGAGTTTCGTACTGGAGGAAGCAAATCATTCCAGCACTTACATGCAGCGAATTTGAAACTCCCGCGGTAAAGCGTTAATCTAGGAGGTGGCCATTAGATATTTTATACCTCGTAGAATACCAGTACAGAGTACTAAAAAACTGACCTCAAAAGTTTGTGGAACTATTCACCAAGTTTTATTGAAACCGGATTCAGCCACTAGTTTGCCACACTTGCAGGTGGATTATTTTCTTGAAATTTAAATGGTACCAATACTGAGGTACCCTCTTTCTAACAAAAAAATTGATTCTCATCAAAATCGGTTCATAAATCACCGGAGTTATTGCCTAACACACATAAAAAAAAGTAGAATTGAGAACTCCTCCTTTTTTTGGTGGGACAAACCAGTCGTGCGCTTGGTGGTGAGCGACACGCCTATCCATAACAGTAACATAACCATTGCAGTTCACTCGGATCTTTAAATTGGAAAGATCTTATGGGCACTGCCAAAGCGCTCGTCAATCTGAGACATAAGTTGACAAGTCCCATGTGCCTGTAATTTCACCAGCACCCTTACCCCTCTAAACTGGAACACAGTAATGCTCACATTACTGCTCAACTGCAGAAATAGGTAAGGTGGCAGTATTTCCCCCGAATAACTCTTTCACAAAGAGCTTTACTGTTACTAAAAACAGTACAAATAAAACACTTCAAAATATTCAAACATTCGGAATTTGAGTAATCATGATTTGCATGCATTGACATAAGCAAATTGTAATTTGAATGCTCGACAGTGTAACCTCAGACATTTTATTGAATAATTCATGCTTCTACATAAAGTAGATATTTGAACGTGCTTGATGTGTATGTGTTCATTGTTTGTTTTTAGTTAGTACTCATGTTCAATATTTCTGGAAACCTGTGATTGGCTCTTTATGTTCCTTTTTATTAATTGTTATGAGGCTGTTGGTTTACCAGGAAAAACAATGAATAACAAACACATAAGGTACAAATTAAAAGAAATCTATGCTGATTTTTCGAGATGTTGTTCCCCTGTTGGCTTGTCGAATAGCCATTGGAAATGTTTTTCGTCTCAATGGTGACAACGTTTTAGATACTACTTGTCTTACACGAGAAGGCAAGTCATTCCATATATTATTTTGAATTAGGCATATTTAAAACAACCTAGGGTGACAGCCGATGATATAAAATAATTTGAATATTAGGTATTTAAAAAAAAATTATAAAACATTTAGTGTTTGAAGGTCCGTACGATTCGATGTCAACCTACTGGTTATCTCCTAGTTAACAATCACTCCATAACGTTTGGTGTATAAAAAAAGGGGAGTAATGCCTAGTGTTTAGTACAAAGTGCCTTAGTACGTTACTCGCAAATGGAAAAAGTTTTTAAAGTATAAAAAAAAACAGCAAACACATAATGTCCAGTTTAATTATTTTTTTTAATAAAAAGATAGCTGAACCTGAAATCTTCATGATAACATTTCAGTATTTGAAAACGCACACATACTCAACATAGCCCCGCACTAGAAAAACCCTGTGTCGTGAAAAACCACGAATTACACCTAAACTCACGAGAGAAATAAATGTAGGCCATACAAATATTTCTTCCGGCCCGGGAATCGAACCTGGGACCTCTTCGTGGCAGTCCGGCATGGTAATTCGACCACAGAGGCAGTTTTAAACAAAACAAAAACACTTCTAAACTTGTACATTGTTTTATACTTTTTCAACTTTGAACCTACTAATTTGCGTCAACGATTGTCTATGGATATACAAGTGAATTCTACTTCAAATAATGTACTTTCAATTGCTTACTGACATACCTACATACGAGAAATACAAAAATTGGCGTTATGGTTAAGAAGTTCGACAGATACAAAATATCGAGTTCTTAGGTTTTCGCGAATGTTACACATAGGAAATGAAAGTATTTTTCCGGATTTAAATCGCGTATATTTGTTTTTTCAAACAAACCGACGTTTCGATTTTAAAGAATGTTTCCTTTGTAAAATTAAAAATAAGGTATTTAATTAATAACTATTGTAACTATAGTGAAAAAATAGGGTGGTTTGCATTAATATTAGACATAACTGGTTGAAGACTGTACCACCTCAGTCAACCGTGACCATGGGACCTGTAAAGGGCCCGAAACGTCGGTTTGTTTGAAAAAACATATATACGCGATTTAAATCCGGAAAAATAGTTTCATTTCCTATAGATACAAAATACTTAAAAAATACTAAAATTGAATAAGGTGATAACCTTTACTCGTAAATCCGCAATACCTGTAAATGGATTATTTTTTTCTTGGTGGATAATGATTACAACTATACTGTTAGCAAGCCACAAACATTACGTTATATTTTGAGATAAAAATAAAATGTATATTTCTCTATGGAAAAAACAAAACTAAGGGACACATACTATATTTTGACTCAAGTGTTTTAGCCCTAGAAAGAGTAGACAAAGCCTTAAAAGACTATTCCTCAAACATTACAAAGAAAGGGGTGTGCCCTGAATTAGTTAAAACAACTGTTTTTATTCAATCATACAAAAGTATATAAATAGGATAATTTTTAAGAAAAAACATGTGTTTTTTTAGCAGTAGTGTTAAAACTAATGTTAGTTTTTACGAAAAGAGAAAAGTGTAATCTTATTATTTAATTAATTTAATTTTTTTATTTATTTATTTATTCAATGAACAAAGTGTCAACAGCATTCTTAATTACTTATTTGACAAATGTGTTTAAGCAGTACAAAAGCCAATTACAGAAACTCACTATGTATACAAAATATGTGATATTATTATTACAACATTGGGTAGAAAAATAAATTTAAATTGGTACAATAAAAACTGAGTTCATAACTAACTGTGAATTACTGATATCAATTGTCGTGTATAGGTCTGTGTAAGTATATGTGTGTATATGTGATGGAGCGTGAGTGTCTAGTTCGCCTCCCCCAATTTCCTCAGACAATGTGCTAGGCAGGTAAAACTAACAAAGAAAGAAACTGCTTGCATCGTTAGTGCTTGCAACTCGGCTTACATGGCGCACGAAATCGACGCAAATAAAACTGTTTAAGAAAATAAAATAATAATGTATTTTAAAAATAAAATTGCCGCCGCTTTACCTCGAGCGTTTGTTGCTTCGTAAAATACAATATATCACGATAATAAGGTGCATGTTTTTGTATTACAGACCTTGATTGAATGTAGTAATTAAAGTGTAAATAGTGAACATTAACATGTTAACAGAATTTTGAACTACAATATACGTGCCTTTGTTTGTCAGCTGTACGTTTTAACAATCATTACGTTAATTCAATACCTACGTACGATGTATTTGTCCAAAACGTGCCAATTGTGCTAACGTTTCTATTTCCCCCAAAAGATGGGGTAAGAGAAACAGTACATTGTATTACAAGATTGCATAACTGTCAAATTTGTTTATTCCGCCCATCGAGATACTCGATGTTTCCGTCTTTTGGATTTAGAGCATCGTAGCGGCATCTATTTGAAATAGTTTAGACTAATTTGTCTGTTTTATCGACTGACTATAGTATCAGAATCGAGAACAGTTACATCAAGTGAACATCACTAATCGTAAAATTTGACCAAAAACATGACGAAGCGGCCGTACCACGAAAATGAATGCATTATACGAAAGTATCACTCGTTCGATATTCATGGCCTAAGCTACTAAAGAAGGAGACACACGTACGGCTTTGACATAATCTGCTGTATTATGAATCTCGTGGCATACATTCGTTCGCATATTTGTTTTCTCGAAATTTATTTAAAATGAAAATAATTTAACAATTAATAATAATAACGCTGTGTCACTACAGGCGGCTAAATAGGCAGATAACGAAGTCTTTGACTAGCGCATACGCCAATTTAATACAGAGCGTATTAAAGCGGCCATTGAGCGGAACAAAGGCTCCAAGGTATTCGCGAGAGATCTGTCTATTGGGCAAAGCCAACTGACGAAGCTGAAAACTGTAGCATCATTTCATCTAAACCTGAAATCCTGAGGGAGATAGAGAGTCTCTATCGACAGCTGTACTCCACGAAAGCACCTGTTGTAAGCGAGGCTAAAGACCCCAGAGCCAAGCTTACCCGACATTATAACGAAGATATCCCGGACGTCAGCCTGTATGAGGTTAGTGTGGCTCTCAAACAACTGAAGAACAACAAAGCGGCAGGCGATGATGGAATCACTACAGAACTTCTGAGAGGCAAGCCGATACTTAAAGTCCTCCAGAAGCTTTTCAATTCTGTCATCGTCGAAGGTCCAACGGCGAAGGCATGAGACAGAATCGAGGTCGTCCTGTTCTTCAAAATGTGTCTTCTGAGCCATATCTATAAGTTGTTTTCGAGAGTTATCACGAATCGTCTCCCTCGCAGGTTTAATGACTTCCAACCTCCCGAACAAGCCGGTTTCCAAAAGGGTTTTAACACCATATACCACATATATACGCTGCGGCGGGTTATACAGAAGACTGAGGAGTATAACCGGCCACTTTGCTTAGCGTTTGTGGACCATGAGAAGGCCTTTGATTCGATCGAGACCTGGGCGGTGCTGCAGTCTCTCCAAAGGTGCCAAGTAGACTATAGGTATATCGAGATAAAAACGCCACTATGTCAGTCCGATTAAGAGCTCTAATCCTATCCAACTGCAACGAGGCGTGAGACAGGAAGATGTGATATCTCCGAAACTGTTCGCTGCTGCGTTGGAGGATATTTTCAAGCTTCTGGACTGGAAAGGACTTGGCATCAACATCAATGGCGAGTATCTAATACACCTTCGATTTGCCGATGATATAGTTCTTATGGCTGAGACCTTGGGAGACCTGAACACAATGCTCGAAGATCTCAGTAGCGTTTCCCAAAAGAGTCGGTCTTAAGACGAACATGGACAAGACGAAGATCATGTCGAATGACCGTGTTGTACCCGCTTCAGTTAGAATTGGGAGCATTACACTCGAAGTTGTTGACCATTACGTATACCTGGGGCAGACAGTCCAGTTAGGTAAGTCCAACTTTGAGAAAGAGATCTCTCGTCGAATCCAGCTCGGATGGGCAGCGTTCGGGAAACTACAAAAATATTTGCGTCCAAATTATCTCAGTGTCTCAAGACAAAAGTATTTGACCAGTGTGTGTTGCCAGGGATGACATATGGATCAGAAACGTGGTCCCTCACTATGGGCCTCATAAGAAGGCTCAAGGTCACTCAGCGGGCAATGGAGAGAGCGTTGCTCTGATGCGATGAATGGAGAGAGTGATAGAATCAGAAATTAGGAAATCCGTAGGAGAACTAAGGTGAATATATAGCTCGAAGAGTTGCTCAGCTGAAGTGGCAGTGGGCGGGGCACATAGCTAGAAGAACCGATGGCCATTGGAGCGGAAAAGTTCTTCAATGGCGACCGCGCACCGGACGACCCTCAGTGGGTAGGCCCCCCCACCAGGTGGACCGACGTTCTGGTAAAGGTCGCGGGAAGCCGATGGATGCGGGCAGCACAGGACAGATCGTCGTGAAGATCGTTGGTGGAGGCCTATTGAATGATGATGATGAGGATAATAACGCACACACTCAACATAGCCTCTGTGTCGCGGGTGCCATGGACACACACATAGACAACCACAAATTACACCCAAACTCACGAGAGAAATAAGTGTAGGCCATAAAACTATTAGGACCTTAGCGTGGCAGACCGGCATGGTAACCGTTCGGCCACCGAAGCAGTTAATTGATTTTAAAATAAATTATGCATTCTGATTACAAAATTAAATAACTGTGGAAGGAAACTTCCCTTTTTATTTATCTTCTCACAGCTGTTGTTTTTGTAGTTTCTAACGTACGTGTTGCGTCCGCGTCTTCGATTGAATCAATCCCTTTAGTGTTGAAGGAGGTTTCTCATCACTAAATAGCACTTGTGACGTCACCGGAGGTACAAAAAATGTGGCACGCTTGGTTTCGTACAGATCGCGGCACTTGCGGTGTCTATTTAGCTATATGTCAGTGCTGCCTTCCGTACATAACAACTTAAACAATTGTATGTGTACCTGCTTTTATGACACTGTCTTCTTGTTCCAGACGAACCAAGTCGCGAAGTAATTACCAAGATGAACCCAACAGAAGTTTCTCTCCGCACCATCAGCAAGTATGACTTGGGCAAGTTTCTCGTAGACGTACTGGACGATCCTCAATACTACCGTCAGGGCGTCGGCATTGGTAACGTGCCTAACGCCTAAGTGACAAAACTTCAAAAATATTTATTTATGCATGTAATTACAGATTAAAGATACTAGCTGCACTTTTGTAGTGCGAAGAGGCCACGGACATGTATACATAGTTAGAACTAATTAATAAATTATAAACATCCAGAAACAATATGTAACGTTTATTATTAGTAAACAAAATCTAATATCTTGACAATAACAACTAGTGTTGGAGTATGGAAAAATTTCCATTTTGAAAAATTCATATTTTTCAGAAAAATAAATATTTTTCCACTCTTGACGTTGACACTTGTCAAAAGTTGAAGTTACTGATCGAAAAAGATAGAGCCATTAGATAGGTTTCTTTGCTGTTGTGAATCATTTTAAATCTCGTTTTATTAAGT